TGTGGAGACCCCATGAGATGGACTTGAGCTAGTGTCCAGTCTACAAAGAGGAGGGTCAACACAGAGGAATCATTTCCTCCATGCTTCCAAGCAAAGCCAACCATGGTTGACCAGGACCTTTGACTTATCTTCACATAGGTGGAATTTGGTAAAACAAAGTAGCCAGGGCCTCTCCCAAGCCCATGTGACCCATGAGGAACAGATCCTCAAACGACCTTAAGAGTAAAAATAAATTGGTTTATCTGGGCCAACTCTACAGACTTAAGCACCCCAAAGGAAAGTATAACCAAAGATTAAAGGGGCCAATATAATAGGGAATTAGTTTTTAAAGTAACTTAAAAATAGAGTATATGATTTAAAAATAAAACTCCCAAAGCCTCAGAAGCAGTAGAAAAACTGAATAAAATTATAGATGCCCACGCTCCACTCCAGAGCTCTTGGACCTGAATCTGCAGTTGTGGAACTGCCTCCTGTGTATTTACAAAGAACTAATTACTTCCAATGATAACCAGGGTTCAAATGTCAGTTAACTTGGATCATTAGTTATTCTTTCTTATTGGCTTTTGAGTTACCTTTGATTACGATATGAATTTATGTGTGTACACATATGTATGCTTGTGTAATTATGCACACTATGTGTATGTCTGTATACATGTGTCCGTTCTCATGCTAGCTCTGTGAGTGTGTGTATGTACATGTTCATGTTAATGCCATGTGCATGTGGGTACATGTGCCTGGGGAGGCCTGTGGAGACCAGAAGTCAATATTGGTTGTGTTCCTTGATCGTCTTCACCTTATCTTTTTGAGACAGGCTTTCACTGAATCTGGAACCAATGAGCTCCAGGGAACTACCTGCCTCTGCCCTCCAGTGCTGGGTTATAGACCTACACTGCCATGCCTGGCTTTCACAGGGGTGCTCGGAATCTGAATTCAGGTCCTCAAGCTTGTATGGCAGCCACTTAACCTACTGCTCCATCTCCCCAGCCCTCAGGCTGTCTTTTCTGTTTCATTCATTTAGCTGACTTCTAATTCCACACAGTATTTTATCTGTAAAATGAGAAAATGAGAACACTTACATCTGAGGATTGAAGAAGGATCAAATCAGTTCATGTAATGTGTTTAAAACACATTGCCTCCAAAAGACATCTTCTGGACATGGCATGACTGTCGTAGTCATGACTTCACTGCAGCTATGGCAACCAGCACACGACCTGTACAAGATTGGGTGGCCAACATTTTATCATGGAGAGAGGCAAGGTTCATGCAGCCCCATCCCTCTCTGAGGGGCTACTGGCAATTAATGATTGCTGAGGGGAGATGTCACTTTTCTTCTGAAAAATATATATAGTTGATTATCAGTATTAATTTGAGGCAAGTTCTAACCTTTGTCCACAAATTTGTGATTTCCCTGCTTTTACTTCCCAAGTACAGGGATTATAGGTGTGTGCCATCATGCCTGATTTTTATTTTTAGTGTGTGTGTGTGTGTGTGTGTGTGTGTGTGTGTTTGTTTGTTATAAATCGAAGGCCAATCTGATGGTTTTTTGAGACAGACAGTTAAAAACCAGCCACATCATTGTTCCATTTCTGTGTATTCCATCTCAACAGAGGGAAGAAGGCCCAAGAGTTGAAACCCAGTAAAACAATCTTCCTTGGTGTGATATCTTTAGACAATGTAATTATTCTGTTGTCATTTTAATTAGTATTATTACTTGCATAATATTTGATTCATTATAAAATCTTCTGTAATATTCTTTGCCTAATCTTTGTAATTTCTCTTTGCTTTTGTTATTTCATTTTAAATGTGTTTCTTTATAGATTATAGGTTAGGTTTTGTTAAACCAGTTTGAAAATTTGTTTTTTAATTAGAAATATTTTCTGCTTTTGGCAATAAATATAAACCTGATATATTTGGTCTGATTTTCTTCTTAAATTGTGTTTAACTGTATTGTTTATTTTCAATTAGTCATTCTTACCTTCAGCCTGTCAATGGAACTGTTCAAATGTGCTCTCTGTTTCTTAATTTTCTAAAAGGTCAACTTTATCTTTGGTGGCTTCAATTAGGTTATTATTCTTATCACTGAATTTTTAGTTTCTTTGTATTTTGCTATTATCTCAGCTGGCTACATTTCCATCTCACAATGCACTTTAAGCTGTCTTTTATATTGTTCCGCCAGTTTGTACCAGGACTTGGGTTCAGGGCTGGGTGTTTCCAGGTGCTTGGCCTCTTATCAAAAGAACCGATCTGCAAAAGTAGCAAGAAAACTTTACTCAGTGTGAAACAGCATACTAATTAGAGAGGGATACACTGTCAAGGTTGACAGTGAACCATATGAGTGAGGGTTCTTAAAGCCCAAGTATTGTTTGGGGCTTGCTGTTACAGCTTTCAGAAAGAAGGGGTAGCTTGGTTGCTAAGGGGTAGTTCTGTTAATGGGAAGTTCTCTTTTAGATTGGTAGTTTGGGTCATATAATCATTTTCCTACTGTGCACGTGCCTTCCTAAAATACATTGATTTTAATCATATGCATGCCTAATTATGTATAGGCACAAGGATGTAAATAGGGGATTCGCCATAAAAGTTCACTTGAGGACACAATTTTGCCTTATTGTATATGAACCCCAACCAGTTCAGCCCTTCTATTGCTCATACCAGACACACTGGGAATATACTTGAAACTGTTTACGTTTGATTGTTGTTAGGGAAGGAGCAACTTAAACTATCATTCAGAGAGAGGTGTAGCCCAGTGCAGGTGGGGATATGGGAAGGGGGGTCTGAGTTTGGTGGGTGCATTGTTTGAAGAGGGCTGTGTGTGCACAGTATGTGAAATCAAGGAGCTAGTGCATTATTAGAAGGAGAATTGGGGGTAGGGGTTGCATAACCCAAACTAAGTAGAGTCCTGGACTACTAAACTGTGGTCCATGCTTGCTTGCCTCAAAGTTTTTTCTTGAATTCTCACTCCTCTCCCAGTCCAAAATGCTTTTTCTGTTTTCTTTTACAAATCCTTTCCATAGATATACTTTCCCAGGTTTACACATGCAGTGCTATATTTTGTTTTCTTCTTATCAAAAACATCACTCAGGAACTTTTCCAGCCTGGTGTTTGCTAACAGAGAAGTAGTTTGTATTTGAACCTTCCTCCCATGCCTTCTTTCTCACCCCATCAAGTGCTGAACTACCTTTCCAGCAGCCCAGGTGGGCAGTGGGGTGAAGGGTGCAGCAGGATCCACTAATCCATTCCACTTGATAAAGCAGGATATGATGGTTAGTTCATAATTGTCAACTTGTCACAACCGAAAATCATCTGAGAAGAGAGCTCCAATTGAAGAATGTATAGATCAGGTTGGCCTGTGGACATGTCTGTAGTAGTTTGTCTTGTTCACTGAGGTGGGAAGACCCACCCTGAATGGTAGAAAGCACAATTCCCTGGTTTGGGGTCCTAAATAGTTCAGCTCTCAGTGCTTTTCTGTGTGTGCCCCCACCTGTAGGCCACTGTGTATGAAAGTTCCTCTTGTGCTTACATTGATACAATTCTCTATCCTGCTTTACTTGCTGAAATGACATGGAATTGATGGTCTTCAAATAGAATTAGAAATAAAAGCTCCACTGAAAGACAAGGAGCTGATGAGCCAAGCACCCCCAGCTATTAATTCAATAAGCATGATGTGGTAGGGAGAGGGTGCTAGCCCCCAGAAGGTGTTCTAATTAGGACAGGCTAAGCCAAGGTCTGATTAGGGAAGTTAGTTAAGTTCTTCTTCCAAATCCAGCTTTTCTTTGGTATGGAAGGAAAGATTCCATAGGTCACCTATTTTGTTTCCAACCTTGCACTTAATGGAAATCCACCCAACATCCTTATAGTAGTTTGACTGTAAGTCTTGGTTCTCCCTTGCCTAAATTTTGGTCTTTGCTTTTTGCAGGAGATCATATCAGAGATTTGTTAACCTGAGTACCTTTTAAATTGGGAGAAAGAGACCATCACTGTTATTAATAATCATGCCATCTAATTAAATGAACACAAATAGCATTTTTATTAATATCCCTCCTATTGCCATAATCTATACATTTTCTATCGCTTTAAGAGCTAGCTATTTAATTTGGTTTTAAAATTTGACAAGATATGGGCTGGAGACATGGCTCAATGGTTAAGAGCACTGACTGCTCTTGCAGAGGACCCAGGTTCAATTCCCAGCACCCACATGGTGGCTAACAACTATTCGTAACTCCAGTTACAGGGGATCTGATGCCCTCTTCTGACCTACGTGGACATTGTACAACATGGGTATGCCTACTTACATGCAGGCAATATACTTATACACATTAAATAAAAATAAATAAAATATTTTTAAAATTGACAAGATACTAATATATGCATATCATTTCCTACTTTACAAATATGTTGGGTATAGAAATCATTATTTTACTACTGGCCTACATGTTTATATATGAGATCACATATAATGCTTTTCTCTTTCTTTTCTACAGGATTGGTGATAGTGGTCTGAGGCAATTTCTTGATGGTCCTGCAAGTATGAAGATAAGAGAGCTCAATTTGACTAACTGCTCACTCTTGGGTGATATATCTATTATGAGACTGTCAGAGCGGTATGACAAAGTGATATTCTGCATTAGAGCATTAGCAGTTGTACATTCCCTAATAGTAGAAATCAGAGATAGACCTGAAAGTCAAGACTCTGAGCCCCTTCCACTACATTTAGGGATTTCCTGAAGCTGGAACAGCCCTTACTGAAACCCAATCAGATGTTGAACTCACAGACTGAACTAATCTTCTGATCACATCAGAGATGCTCCCTGTTGTAACCTGAGTTACTTTTTTTTGGATTCTTTTTTTAATTAATTTATTTTTTATTTTTTAAAAGAAGCATTGAATGGAACAATGGATGTCTAGATTCATGACTTTTTGGTACTTTTCAAGGCTATTGTGCCTAGTAAAAACCTAGGTTTATAAACCTATAGTATAAACCAGGGTTTCCTAAGGGCTTTTCTGGCTGATTTATTATTCCTGGTCCTCTGTGAATGGCAGCAGCCTTATGTTCACTAAGGGCTGAGCCCAGCTTCTACAGAAAACCAGTGAAGGAGAAATGAGGAAGTCAACCTTGTACATTTAGTGGGGATTCATCAGGGTACTTCCTGATGTTGTTTTGATGCCTGTGACATGTGATTTTCTTACATCATTAGAAATCACAATATGAAGTCAAATCAAAGAAAGTCTTTCATATTGACATACCTTCCATCCAGCTTTATAATGTCAAATTATTATCCAGGTACACTGATTCATACCTATAATGTGGCACTTTGGGGACTGAGCAGGCGTATTGCCATGGCGGCAAGGCCGGTCTGGTATACACAGTAAATTTTAGGTTAGTCTGGCCTACAGAAGGAGACCTTTCTCAATAAAACAAGGCAAAAAAAAACCTCCAGTTTATTTTCTACTTTTTGGCTTACAGTAATTTTGAGAAAAGGAAAATTCTTTCTTTCACACCATTTGTTTTTCCCAGAATTTTTACATGAAGAAATTGGTACTGTTAATGTGATTAAGAGCTGAAGTTCATTCTCAGGGCATTTTCTTTCAGCTGCTTAAATTTACACTATTTGAGTTTACGAAATTGTGAACATGTGACTGACATAGGAGTTGAATGTATTGCAAACATGCTATCCTTGATATCAGTAGATCTCTCTGGAACACTCATCTCTAATGAGGTAAAAAAAATATCTATTTTAAACAGTTTAAAGGCTTTTATTTTCTTTAATATCACTTTCTGGTTTGCAAACAATAGAAATAACAATTTTCTTTCCTAAGTTATTAGCTTCCAAATGGAAAGTTTAGGGGTATTGTTCCCAGAATAGTGGTAGATATGCTATTTGTGAATCATCATGTTTGTTTCAAAAAAAAAAAAAAACAGTAAAAACCAGTATTCTGAGGAAAAACCTCACAGATCAAAGCAATACATGACAATCTGAAATTTTTTTTATCATAAAAGTTTGGTCAGTGTGGGGTTGATATGTTTTGAATGACTGAGTATATTTTTCCTGTGAATTGCATAGTCTATAAAGTATGTGGATGCCTTGAGACTTAAGTATTTCATTCAAAATTGAAGTCTAGAAAGAGTCCCATCATGACTCTAATTTCTCTAAAGTAGCTTGTGCAGCTCTTCATAGGTCAAGCGCAGGCCACACTCATCCTGCCCCTCCTGCACTGCCTCATTTTCTAATCCAATGGAGAACAAGGGCTAAGAGATGAGCCATGTTTCTGAATATTTTACCAGTATAGTTAAACAAGCAATATGTAGGCTCCTTTCAAATGTCACACAATAGGAGAGCTATAGGATGACAGCAGAATCCCTGTTCATCTCTCAAGACTAACACCAAATATCACCTTTCTAAGACCTTCTCTGAGAAGCCCCGCATTGGAACTGTACATGCATCTCCACACAAATGTATCCTTTACCATGATCTGTTTCTCTTTCTCCTGTGTTGTAGCCACATCCCCCACCCCCAACATTCAGTGAGCTCTTTTAGATGAAGGACATGTCTGTTCACTGTCTAGATTTATCTATGAGTGCACTTAAATCCAGTTCTCATTCTGCTAGCTGGTCTATCCTCCCTTCCTTAGAGAGTCGAATGCAGTGGGAGTGGGAAGAGCAGTTGTATATAGTCAGCTCCTATGCTGGGGTCAGTGTTTGGGCTTCTCAGTGTCTTCTGTGCAGATTAGAATCCACTGAGATGTATGAGGGACCATCTGGTGTTTAGTTTCATGTCTAGGTGGACTTCTAATGTGTCTTTCTCATCCCCACTTGAAGGCCACTTCTCAGGGTTCCTCTGCATTCTGCTGGAGTGTGGTGACCCTGTGAAGCTATCTTAGGATCACCATCCCAGACAACCCCCACAAACATTCTGTTCCCTCATCACAGATGTGCTTGCACAGACCCATGCCTCAGCCTCCCCTGGCTCTTCTGCAGAGTGGCTGAACTAGTGTAAGCTAGAATCCAAATTGAGCTTGGTGCTTGTGAGGCATTTGTGAGTGGCTAGAGAGGTCAGGGTGTTTTTCCCTATTTCTTTGCATCATCATCGTCATCATCATCATCATCGTCATCATCATCCATACTTCCTTTGTGGTCTGCTCCCTCTGAATAGCCATGGTGTGGTTTCACTCCTTGGGTGATCTTTACCTTTGAGCTTCAATAATGCTATCTCAGGGCTGAGAGATGGCTCAGAGGTTAAGAGCGCTGGATACTCTTGCAGAGGATCAGGGTTTGGTTCCTAGAACCCACATGGCAGCTAAGTTCCAGGAGATCCAACACCCTCTTCTGGCCTCTGCAGGTACTGTATGCATGTAGTACACTTACATACATGCAGGCAAAACACTCAGATACATAGAATAAAAATAAGTCAAAAAATTTTAAATAATGCCGTCTTTTCCCACTGACATATCATAGGGACAGTAGTGGCTTTCCAAATGCTGTTAATGTGTGATTGAGTCATTTACCCATTTACCCATTCTCCATTTCTCTACCACCTGTGTGGTCAGTTCATTGTTACCATCAAATTTTCTCACTTTTGAATACCTGAGAATTGTTCCTCTTTTCTTCATTGAATCTTAATTGATTGAATAATGACAGAAAAACTCAGATGTCCTCTGGCTTTTATGAACTCTACAGAGAAAGACGGACTGGTTCCCATTTGTTCTCATATCTCTCAACCTATGTGGACGTTCCAGCTTCTGCAGCTGAACAGACCTGAGACGGTCTGGACCACCCCCCTTTCATGCAGAACTCCCGAGCCCCGCACTCTTCTGATTCTCTGGGTCTTGCCTCAGCTCCTCTCCTATCCCTGCCTTTCTCTCTTTTCTCCCTTCTCTCATTTTCTTTTCCTTTTCTCTCTTCCCTCCTTTCCTTTTTTCTCATCTTTTTTTCTTGGCATGGAATATTTCTCTAATATGGGGATGGGGAAAATGATTCTATAATTTTAGCACGTTATGCCCTAAATCTTTCAGGAGTTAGGCTTTTAAATCTTAAAGGCCCAGGAGTTTGTACGATGTCCTTCAGTGAGAAAGCTTTCTGTGGCATGAGTGACTAGAGTGCCCAGCTGTTGTTTGCTGGCCACAGGGTAACAAGAAGGGGAGGATCCAGACACATAATAAAACATGAAACGTTCAGTTCCCCCACAGACCTATCACAAGTCTGAAGTGCTGTTGAGGATCTGCTGAGCGAGGATGAAATGCTGTGCCTCAGAGGAGAACTCTGCTTTCATTTCCAAAGACCATATATTAAATTTTTACCTACTGAAAACAAGTTGAAAACTTAGAAATACAGCCTCAAGTTCCATCCTTCTTAATTTTCTGAAGAATGTGTTTCATTTGAGAGAGCTGTAAACAGACATCCGTGGGCAACAACTAAACATAATGCTAATTATTTTCTGCTAAATCATGGAAACATAATCTCCTGAAGGTTGTTTTCCTGCATGGAGTCAAATTCTATCTAAAAGACAAATGATTGACAGTAACAGTGGTACAACAGCTGTGGGAGCTAACCTCAAACCGTCAACCTAAAGTGAGTCAGTCCAGAAGTCAGACTGGGCAGCTGCACACCAGCCTAGACTGGAGGTCCGATGAAGTGCGAATTTGACTACAGACTTAACATTCAGAATTCCAGTGCTGGAATATTGCAGATATCCACCAGAGATCAACTGTGACCAGTTCTGCCTTTGGGGAAAGTTTTTTTCTTATATTTTCTAACATTTATGTCCAATCTCAATTCTTCTGAGGAATTTTTTCAATTAGAATCTTACTACTCACGTAGTTCTCTTTTGTTGTGCTTGGTCCTAGGGACACAAAAACGGACAAAGCAGATGTGACCCCTCTTCCTAGCTCTCACATTCCTGTGGGACAAGTGCTTGTAAAGCATAGTGGGTTTGGGAAAGAAGGGAAGAGAAACTTCTTAGAGATCTTATTCTCTAAGAGAATGAGAGAGGACATGTGAAAAGCCAAAGAAACAACCTTCACCAGGATATGGGGGTTTAGTATGGGGTGACATCAAGACGCCCACACATGTGGTTATGGCTCGATTCTAAGAATGCTGAGGGATGATGTGCATGAGGCAGACAGGAGCCAAGTATCTCTAGAAATCTTTAATCTTCTATATTTTTTAGATGTCTAACTAAATGTGATATTATTAACTTCCCCAAAGATTTCTTGAATATAACATTATCTTCATGCATATGGAAAAATGTTTTCTACTAGATAAAGAAATTGTGATTTACTAAAGACCACAGGATCCACAATTAGGGCAGTCCAACCCTCTGCTTCAGCTGTCTTAGTCACTGCCATATTTGTTAAAGGAAAATGAGTCAAAGCAGTGCCCCAGACTACATGCTTAGACAGTGGTTTATGAAGACTCTTTCATTTGCCCAAATTTCAAAAACTTGCATCATGACTCTTAGATTGTGGGTGCCTATTATGTAGGTAACCTCCTAGTGTCTCCTCACTAGGCTGAGAGATCCTCAAGGGCTAAGAATTAGTTCTGTCCTTTACTATTTCCCAGACCCCTAGGAAACAGTAGGCACTTGATAAGGACTCACTGAATGACCAAGGGCTGGGAAGCATAGTTGCTAACATGAACAAGACCTGTTCTTTGCAGCCTGATTTAAAGGGAAAACATGGATATTTTTAATGTAGAGTGACAGGCATATTGGCCCCTTGACTCAGCCTATTCAACACAGAAAAATGCAGATGCACATTTGTTCAAGGAACTCCATGCAGCCGAGTCTTGCTAGAATGTTCCATGAAAAGGAGATGCTAAAAGAAATTCATGCTATGCAAAAAAAACTTGGATTTGAACCAATAGGTGATAAAGTAGCACTTAGGGCAGTCATAGTCTCCCATGCTAAGTAGATCCTTGAGATGTTTCTGGGGGGTTGATTGGAAAGGAGAGGGAATAGAGGGAAGGGAACCAATAGGAACTGTTTTAGAAATTAAAAAAAGAGATGAAGCATTCTTGAACCAGGTTAGAACTTGAATGGAAAAGACTTTGTCAAGAACACCTAGATGATAAAACTGAAAGAAGCTGGTGTTGAAAACAAAGATCTGAGAGTAAAGTAGGGAAATAAGAATGATTTTTAAAATATGGCTTTGGATGGAGGTCCTACTTACAAAAAAAGTTGAGGGCTGGAGAGATGGCTCGGTGGCTAAGAGCACTGACTGCTGTTGCAGAGGACCTGGATTTAGTTCCCAACACCCATATGGTGACTAACTCCAGTTCCAAGAGAGCCAATGCCCTTTTCTGACCTCTGTGGGCATTGCAGGACATGGGTGCACTCACACACATGCAGGCAATACACTCATACATATAAAATAAAAATAATAAATAAAATATATATTTTTTAAAGTTAAGTGCCAGGCATGTTAGCACATGCCTTTAATCCAAGCACTCAGGAGGCAGAAGCAGGTGGATCTCTATGAGGCCAAGGTCAGCCTGGTCTGCATAGCAAGGTCCAAGCCAGCTGGGGCTACAGGGAAAAACTGTCTGAAAAAAGTTAGATAATTCACAGATACCCACAACTGGCTAATATACAGAGCATAAGAGGCTGCAGAGTTGTTATCCCTCAATAGGACACCTATATCAAACTTCTGCCTCCCAAGTCTCAGGATGATTGTAGAAGAATGGGTGGAAAGATTGTAAGAGCCAGAGGTGATGGATGACCAT